AGGAGTACTTTGAGATTACATGGGCTAGCTTAAGGTCAATGGTCGAACCATCATTTGCAAAACGTGCAGTGATTAATCACAGTGAATACCTTCACAATGCACGCATTATTTCATCTCCCGCAATCAACATCACGAGGAGTGAAGTTTTGACAGAACAAGGAGAGGGGTTTGCATATGATTATCTTGTTGTTGCCACAGGTCATTTGGATAATGGCAGTTCCACAAGAAATGAGAAACTCCATTACTACCAAGAAGGTCAGGAGTTTGATGACATCTAATGTGTATTGGCTCAATACCTTTGAGGCTTTGATACAGGCTTTCATATCATCAGATACCTATAATAACCCATCTACTTTTGTACCCAAGTGCATCAGGTCATTCCTGCACTTCTAGATCCCAATTTTGGTGTACAACTATAGATATTTGTCACTTTTGGTGTTACATTCATTTTTTTTCCACTTGCCAGTCGACTTTGGCCACATAAGTGACCAGCAAGGAGCACAAGTTGGAAAAAACATAGTTATCTCACCAAATTGAAACAAGTAAAAACTTTTGTAACCCTAGATCTGAATATCTGCACCTAAGCCCCACACAGAGAGTTAGGCACCAGTCTTGTTTGGTTTAGAACGTTGGTTACAAACTTAAAATTACTCACTTAATGCCTTTAAACTGATAACTAAAGCAGTAGTTCATGATGACGTCCATTCAAGATATTGAAATTCAGTCCGTTGATGTTTATTTGTCTTCCTGGCAGAGAATGATAATATCAAAGCTGCTAATTCCATATTGATAGTTGGTGGAGGACCAACGGGTGTAGAACTGGCTGCTGAAATAGCCGTCGAATTTCCTGATAAAAAGGTCACACTTGTGCACAAGGGATCAAGGTTGCTGCAGTTCATTGGAGAAAAGGCTGGTAAGAAGGCATTTGATTGGTTAATTTCAAAGAAGGTTGAAGTCATCCTCAAGCAATCTGTTAACTTGGACTCGGCCTCGGACGGTGTGTATTGGTTATCTGGTGGTGAAACCATAAGTGCTGATCGCCATTATGTATGTGCTATGAAGCCTTTTGCAACATCATGGCTAAAGGATACCGATTTGAGAGGTAGCTTGGACGACCAAGGGAAGTTAATGGTTGATGCAAATTTGAGAGTCAAGGGTCACAATAATATATTTGCCATTGGAGACATTGTTGATACCAAAGTAAGCTTATACTGAATCTACTGGTTTCTTTATCAACCAAATCATTTTCAAAGCTAATAGTGTCTTTGAAGAATATCCGTTTTTGGTCCTACGATTATTTCCCTTGTTTAGTTCACAACTTTCATTTTTTATTTGCTTTTCATGCACACCTTATTGATTCAAAAAATGTTTGGTTACAATGTTAGGAACTGAAACAAGGATATATAGCTCGAAACCATGCATTGTTGGTTGCCAAGAATGTGAAGTTATTGATAAGTGGAGCAGAGGAGCAGAAAATGGCGAAGTATAAGCCCGGTCCAACAATGGCTATAGTTTCTTTAGGTAGGCGAGAGGCTGTGATGCAAGTTGGGTGCATAACCATTTCTGGGCGGATTCCGGGAATGATAAAGTCTGGGGATTTGTTTGTTGGCAAAGCGAGGAAGGAACTCGGGCTAAAATCTTAGCCTTCATAGTCTTGCAAATTGGTGTTGTTTTTTTTGTCTTTTTTTATTTAATTGCTGAGTTATAAGTAGCATTCCACATGTCTCATTTTTATATTCATACACTATGAATGTACATTTTGAGTCTGAGAAATAATTAAAAGTTTGATACCCGTGCTTCTTGACATGGTATTCAAGTTACAAGTTACATTGTGATGGTTTGAAATTTCTTTGAGTTAGAATGAAGTGAATAGGGTAAGATGTTCTCTCACTTTCTGTGTTCTATAAAACAAATCTAAGCTTTCTTAAACTGAGATCATTATAACAGAATTAATAAAGTACGAATATGATCACACATTCACACATACTAACTTCAATTAATATTTCCTCCGTTTCAATTTTTTTTTAAAAAAATGAATAAATAATTGAAATGCAGAAACATCAGTTCGAACGGATACTATTAGCTAAGTGATTTTTTGAGCTAAAGCAACTTTAGCCAGCTATCTTATTCTTCCTTTGTTGAATGATTGCTAATTATATTAAGGAATTATTTAACTTTGCACCTCACCTTTTTTGTGTGATACTGGGCTTTGCACCCTAATTAAAGAAAAATGACTTTGCACCCTATCATATATGTAGTAACCTTTTGTGAAGATTTATTTTAATAGAGTGCAAGTCAAAGGGGTTTTAAGTGAAATGAGATGCAAAGTCAAAGTTTTTTTAAAATGGGTTGCACGGTTCAACATCACCCCATGAGATCTAATTCTCTATCCTGTTACAGCTTCCAGTGGTACGAACCCTCTCACATTCTCAATTTCATTTCTCATTTCAAATCTTGATTGAGCAGTTTCTCTCTTTTTCATTAATAAGATCATTGTCAAGTATATTCAAAATAAAATCAGGAGGAACTGAAATCCAAAAATTACAATCTGACACAAAACATGCGACTTTTGCCAATCCACGAGTCACCTCGTTCGCTGACCGTTTGATATGAGAGAAAGAGATATTCGTAAAGCTTGAGCAAATATCTTTGAATGTCATCCGCAACTAAGCCTGCCACAGAAACACTTGTCCCTCTAAGGATCTCTGAGATAGCACGAACTGCATCAGACTCTACATCCACAAACTGCCATCCTTCTTCCTTGATCCAAATAAGAGCCTCCCTTATTCCCACCAACTCGATCATGAACCTCCCACGTTTTCTGATGTTCACTCCTCAATGTAGGTGTTAGTTCTTCTTCCTAAACGTACAAGTGAAAGCACTAAATTGTAGCACGTACCTAGTGGCGCGGACGCGCGGCATGATAAAAGCACCCTTAATACAAATGCTCCGTATGAAAACATTGAAAAGTTCAATTTGTACACGTTATTTGTATGCGTTTGTAACTTGGTATAAACGTCCTTATTTTATTTATGCCCACATATATATAATTCGTAAAAGAGTAAAAATTCTGAAAGCTAGCTAAGTAAACAAATAATTTGAACTTGTATACACGCCGAAACGTGTACACGGAGACACGGAGTGCCGAGTGCGGTTGTACAAATATGGAACGGTGCAACATCATTAAAGAAATAAACACATATAATTATTTAATAAAAATTTCTCCTCTTCTTTTCATTGTGTTTTTTCACAATGTCAACTATAATGTCTAAATCTTAACGTTATACTTTACATTATGATTATTACGTAACTATAAAGCTGGTCGTTGAGGAAAGATAGTGAGAGCGATTCCCTTAACTAAATTTTATGTGTCTATACCTATACATGTTCCACATTTTTGTACCGAGAATGTTGTGATACTATCCGAGTAAAGGTGAAAGCAGTTGAAGTTTTTTATCGACTAGGAGCCAATTTGATAACACTGAAATTGTTTGTTAATTCTGCTGAAATCTATGAAGTTCTGACTGAAGTGGATGATTCTGCTTATTTATGAAAAAATTATATCTAAAATACTACTTTTAATAAGAAAACAAAAGAAAAAAATATATGAAAAATATCTTAACTTCAGTTTTACCTTTTCTTATTATTACACAATTTAACGCACGAAATAAAAACTTATGTACTTATGCGTTTAGTGAAAAAGTTGATTGATAAGTCTGATAAAGTAAAAAACAGAGTCACCAAACGAACTCTACATGTATCTTTGTTTTTACCATTATATGAACCAATGGTAGCATTACACTATAGAAAAAGCCTGTTTATTGCACTTTTTTCTGGGAATCACTTCTTAGTAATTACTCCGCACTAGTTTACTACTCCCCTTCCGAATTGTTATAGTGTGCCATTCAGGATTGCTTCTAATTGACTGAAATTAAAATTATTTATGGAAATATATATTACTACGTAGTATTGATGATTAAACATTACGCATTCATAACCTACAAGACTTTTATTGAATTGCAAAAACTGATTGAATATGCGAAGTAAAAAGAATCTTATTGACCACATGAATAGTATAGATGATTCAAACAAGATTTGACAAAAATGTGTCCTCGAGGAAGTAGTAGTTGGGAGAATAAACATTGCATATTTTGATAAATTGATCTTTAAAGTAGTAAGGGGTGAAATTTAGTGTATGATCTTGATCACAATTCACAAGTGAGTGATCACAAGGGTGATATTTTTTACATTTGATTTGATAGCAGATGAGTGATAATAACTCGCAAGTTTGGACTTCGACCAATTTACTCCACTTTTTAAAGACATTATTAATCACAATTTTTAATGGAATGCTTGCACAACTGAAGAAATATTTTTATGAGCTTAATAACGATCAGTGAATTTCCTTCAAAAAACGATCAGGGAATCAGCTTTTAGTGACTGGAAAAGTTCTTAGAAGAAAAACAAATTATAACTATTGATTAAAAAACAACTATTTGATTTAGTAATGTGTGGTATAATAAGTTGTGACTAATTATTAATGTTAAAAGTTAAAAAAAAAATTCTCAAAAACTACTCAATGTACTTTTTCAAAAACAATTTGAGAATTAGTGTGACAAACATACAACTATTTTTAGAATTTTTTAAACAGTACACAAGCTAGAATGTAAGAGACTAGAGACTTCTGTTTACAAATATACTACCTCCGTCCCTTAAAACTTTGCCAAGTTTGACCGGCACGGAGAATAATAAAGTAAAAACTGTGTGGTTGTAGTTTGTGCAGAAGAGAGAGAAATAACAGGAACCACAAAATATTGAATAAAAGGGAAAGTGACAAAGTTTTTTGGGACGTCCAAAAAGAAAAGATGACAAAGTTTTAAGGGACGGGGAGAGTATGTAGTTGTAGATTCTAGTGATTAATTTAGCAGTCTGCGTCAGTATAGATGAAAATTTTTGGGAGGCGTGTTTTAGCGTGGAAGTATTACAAACTCCATGATTTATGAAAAGAGAAAAGGATCAAATAGGCTCTCGAACTTACATAAAAAAGTCAAATAAGCCTTTATATAGAAGGTTCTGTCCGGCCGTCGCCATTTGGGGCAGTTCCCGGTGGATTTTTTTGATGATTTTTTTAACATCTTACTCATTAAGGCTAGTTTACTCATATCAAATTTCAGCTAACAATTCAATCGGGAAGACATTCAAATGAATCCTTGAAGATAACTGTGCTTTTAACTACACAGTTATCTTGAAGAATTCATTTGAATGCTTTTCCGATTGACGTTTTAGCTTAAATTTGATATGAGTAAACGAGACTTGATGAATAAAATGCTCAAAAGATTTCATCAAAAAATTCCACCGGGAACCACTCCAAATGGCGACGGCCAGACAGGCGGGACAGAGCCTCCTATATAAGGGCTTATTTGACCTTTTTATGTGAGTTCGAGGGCCTATCTGACCCTTTTCCCCTTTAAGAAAATAATATGGTGACATCTGGTTCATACTATTTTACATTTTATATCTTTTTTTTCCCGTTACAGAAAAAACAACTCATCTCCTCGTTCCCCTCTAAACCCCACCTGATAAACATATCCTTAGGGGTACGGTTACTCAACTAGCCAAAAGGGGACCCCCCTTTACCAGCAGGGGTGCCTGTCTGCCAGGCGCGAGGGAGACGTCGGATGGAGGGGATCGGACGCATGACTTTGATGCCAGGCAAACCCCACCCAACTAGTCAATGGCTAATAAGCATATTTTAAATTTCAGTAATTCAATACTATTTTACTAGTATATACTCCGTATGTTGTTTTACATACACGCCAGAACCAAATAACATGAACATATATTATTTCCGTTGAAACCAGTTACAGGGGAAGTCTGAGTAACATCGCAGGTGGATATCATTATATGAAGGGATAAGTAACATGAAGTTAATAGACTCAATTAATTAGGGAGCATCATCCTTAGATTATTGGTCAGACAAACAAAGATGTTGATGAAATGGTTGCTAAAATGTTAACATCCCTTTCATATGGTGTTACCCTGACATCCATCCTAGTTTGAAAATGGAAAAATGTCAACCCAATAGGGATGATGATGCCCACACATCCAAAGGCACTAGACGCAAAACAAAGAGCGCTTACAATCTTGTAGGAGTCTGATTGGAGGAGTGATATGATCCAGCAGCTCTTGTCTCACATGATGTACTAATACAGTTGAGCTTGAGCCTTTCAAAGTCTAGTGCATGCCATGTTGGCGTTGAACCTGTAGATGATCTGAGCTTATCTCGAGGTTTTGGCTTCTCCAACTCTTTTCTCAGTGAATGATATCGGGCTGCATGTTCAGAGAAATGTGTCATATGTTAAAAACATTATATTGCCGATTGACAATAAGTATAATCACAATTTATCTTGCTGCCTATTATATAGGACATACCATGTTTTGAATAATAAAACTGGTCCAAATGCAATTTTTTATTCCTTTCTACTCCGACAGAAATTTGAACATATTTACGAGTTTTAAAAAGATTAATCATGTTTAATTTTCCTTTGCATTTTCAGCGAAAACCAAGCACCAGATAACAACTTTCTTTGGCATTTTTATTCATTCCCATTGTTGGGATATATTATCCCGACCGATTACTGTTCAGGAGCCCAAGACATTACTCAGTACGGAGCCCGAGCAGCTAGGCCCATTTCGGCCCATCCGGCCCACTTTAGCCATTTGGGTCCACTTCGGCCCATGCGGCCCATTAGGGTGGAGAGCATCCCCTTCCCCTATTCTCTATAAATATGGGAGTTTCCCTCTATATTATGGATCTTTTTTATCTTCTTCCCCAACTCATTCCTTCTCTCTAGAATAGCTTACAATACTCCATTAATGG